GATATTGAGTATTCCTATCCATGAGAATAGGATCGAGTATATCAGAGACTGTGGGAATGGCACAGGATACGAGAAGGTTCAGCTCTGTTATTCATAGGGTCACAAAGAGTTGTATTCAACCTGATGATACCTAACAACAACAACAACATCCATGAGCGTGGTCAGATGCTTTCATCAAAGAAGAAAGTCAGATGACCAACAAACACATGAAAAATGTTCAAAATGACTTGGTTTTAGAAATATGCAAATAAAAACAATAGTGAGATATCATTTTACCCAGTAACAGTAGGAAAGTTCAACAGGAAAGCAAACAACAAATACTGACAAGGATGCAGAGGGATTGGAACTCTCATACACTGCTAGTGGCAATGTAAAATGACAACCACTATAGAAGGCAGTCTAGTGCTTTCTCAAAAAGTTGAAAATGGAAATACCATTTGACTCAGCTATTCCACTACTGGGAATATACCCTAAAGAAATCAGAGCTGTGACACAAACAGATGCACGCACACCTACATTTATTGCAGCATTATTCATCTTCACAATGGCAAGGAGACAGAAGCAGCTCAAGTTACCATCAAAAACTAAAGTGGGGGGAAGAAATAAAGAAAGAAACCATGGCATACCCACACAATGGAATATTATTTATCATTGAAACACAGTGAATTAGAATAAATTAAAAAATGAAGAAGTCTTTTGCTGCAGATTTGCTCAATGAAATACACTGCTTGATTTCTTGACTGCTGCTTCTATAAGTGTTGATTGTAGAGTCAAGTAAAATTTGATGATATCTACTGTCATGCTTTGTGAAAAAGAACATTCTCCTTTCCATTGAAGTAAGAGAACAAGCCTACTGCAATCACTGTTTAAGGCAGGGTAATTAATTTTTGGCAGAAGTTTCCCTAAACTGTGATATAAGGAGTGTCTTAGCTAGGCAACAGAAGCTTACAGTTTCTTCTTTGCCTGGAGGTAGAATAAGGGGTTTCCTAGGAAAACCACTTAGACTTGCTGTTGATTTACAAAAGTTCTTGTTATTATAATAGCACTTTCTGGGAACCGATAAAAGGCAATTTATACTGACAAACCCTTCTTGTCTAACTACCTAGCCTGCTTTCTGTAAGATGTTAGAGATAATCTATAATCTCATGTCATGCACTAAAAGAGAAGTAATACCATGAAACTACTTTAGAGTACATTTCTCATCTTCAGTTCTTTCTATGCCTCATCTCCTCATTGACTTAGTGCTTTAAGATACAGCAAAAATAAAGAAATGTAGCCAGGGATTTTTTACTGGCACTGAGTCAGGGAGGTAGAGTGACTTTCTCTCATTTTCACTGCAAACAGGTGTCAGTATTTCTGAGTGCTTAAGATCTGAACTCCTTGTAGCTCCCACTTCAATTCTTCAGCTGGATAACATACAAGGAGCATCAAGTCTCGGATGCAGCTTGTACACAAAATGAGTATTGTATTGAAATGACTGAGACAGAAGAGAATGAAATAACACCTTGTATGAAACACCAAAAGCCAAACGAAGTGCTGCCAAATCATGGCCACACCATGTGTGTCAGAGTAGAACTACTTCACAGAGTTTTCAGGTGCTATGGCCTTCAGAAAAAAATGACCAACGCACCTCTGGGTAAATTTGAATTGCTAATATTTTTGTTGGGAAATAAAAATGAACTACTGTAGAGACAGTTCCAACTCTTCAATTGTCAGTCAGGTTTCTAAAGCTGTAAATCACAAAAGAAGGATATTGTCCATCTTTCTCCCATGAAACCATTGATGTATCCCAACCACTATAGAAGCACAGCCTTTGGGTTACCAGTGCAACTCACTACAGAGTACACCACTAGAGCTCACTAACCTTTTTGTTTGCTGCGTTGTTGTCATTACCCTTAAGTCAAAAAACTGACTCATAGATACCCTCCAGTGAGTTCATTCAGAGGCTGTCAATACACGAAAGGAGATTTCCCATCTTTCTCTCGCAGGAGCAGCTGGTTCAAACTGTCCACCTTTGGGTTGGCATCACAGCTCCTTACTGCTAAGCTCCCAAGTGATTAGTACTCAAGAAATCAAAAGATGTATTGCATTGGGAAAATCTGCTGTTAAGTACATCTCCAAAGTTCTAAGGAGCAACAATGTCAGTTTAAAGATTAAGGTGCACTATTCATCTGAAAGTTGGACAATGACTACAGATGACAGTTGAATAATAATCAATGCCTTTGAAGATGATGTTGGAGAAGAATATCTCTTGGACTGTCAAAAGAACAAACAAATACGTCTTGGAGAAAGTGCAACAGATTGCTCCTTAGTGGCAAGGATGATGGAACTTCATCTCACATACTTTGGGCATGCTGTAAGGCGACATCAGTCCTTAGAAAAAGATATCATGGTTGGTAAGGTGGAGGGTCATCGAGAGAAAGACCCTCAGTGAAATAGATTGACACAGTGACTGTAACAATGGACTCAAGTATATCAGACATGATGAGGATGGCACAGGACAGGACAAGAAACAGATCTGTAGTTCGTATGATCACTGTGGGTCATACTTGGAAACCAACAATAACAATCACCACTGTTCAATAATTTCCCTGTAACATTTAAGCAGTATGAGCTGGAGTTCCTATCACTTGTAATACAAGGTTTTCTAAGAAATTCAAGTACTAAAAAACGTACAAACCAAATTTATTGCCTTTATACCTATTCTGATTCCTAGTGACCCTACAAGACAGAGCATAACTTCTCCATTAGATTTTCAGGGCTGCGAATCTTTACTGAAGAAGATTGTCACATCTTCCTCCTGCAAAGAAGCTGATGGATTAAAATGGCTGACCTTTAGGTTAGCATTTATGTGCCTTAACCTTATGCCATCAAGGTTCTTCAACACAAATAACACCTCACACATTTTTAATAGCCTATAATGTGCCTGATATAGCTCTGAGTCTCACAGAGAATGTTTCTTCAAGTGCTATTAGCTACATGCAATTTATTGTATCCCAAGTGAGGAGACAAGGCCCAAGATCATGAAACTAGGGTTTAACTCAGGTAGTCTGACATGAGTTCACCATCAGTGTCATCGTAACATTTTGCCTTTCTGTATATAAAGAACAACTTTTTGTTGTATAATATCTTTTTCTTTTTTAACTCTTTTTTTTACTATTATTAATTTCAATGAACATCTACAGATATTTTGGAATTCCATTCATTCATTGTTGCACTTTTCTCCCCACCCATTCACTCCCACCCCCACCCCCAGTTCGCTCCTCTCCTTGAAAAGCAAAAGAAAAACTCCTTCATTGGTACACAATCCCCCGCCCCTGCACATCCCTACTCCCACCCCAAGTATACTCCACTCTGCAACCCTCATTCTGAACTCTTATGAAAATAATAATGCCCTAAAATATATTAATTTTAAACTATCCTCTCCCTCATCAGCTTCAATGCAGTAAACATAATTTATCCAGTTTTTCTCAGTCTTACCCCTACCCCAATGTCAGCCTCATTCTACAACATAATCTCTTTTTTGTTGTATAATCTTTTGTTGTATATCTTTTCAACTTCAATTTTTAAACTTTTAAAAAATTTACTGTAAATAGAAACTCCAGTTGTATGGATTGAATTCAAGTTACTGCTGGCTTAGATTAGAGTTATGTTGTTGTTAGGTACATTGCGTCTACCATGGCTACCCTATGGACAATAGGTTGGAACCTTGCCCTATACTGAGCCATAAACATGATCTCTGCCATGCCCATTGTTGTGGTCACTATCAGAATTTAATTACCAGAATCAGTTCTAAGATTTTTTCTGAATATAATTCAAGACCTGGGTTAGGAAATCTAAAGTAAATGCAAGATCTTTCCTTGCTTACGTTCTGAAGTATACGGAATGAGAATTGGAGAAAGGGTGTGGAAATTGGGCTTGTTATATGGATTTGTTCTGCCAACTTGAGAATGAAGACTGTCTTTTTTTAATAGAATCATGTCATATCTAGTTATCTATGGATATTTTCCTTCAAGTTAAGGATGGACAATCTCCTCTCATGTGACTTACTGCCTCCGAAAACCCACTATGAGTCATTTCTAACTTGACGCATACAACAATATTTTAACAGGGAGCTCTGGTGGCTTAGTGGTAATGATTTGCCCTGCTGACCTAAAGATGCACAGTTCGAACCCATCAGCTGCTTGGATAGAGAAAGATGAGCACTCTCCAAAATCTTATGAAGGGCCAGCTATTATCTGATTCCAACTTGATGGTACGCAACAACAACAATTCAACATTTTGAAATTTACTTTATCGTATTTACTTTAAAAAAATCATTCCTAGTGGCACAGAGGAAGTTCTGGGACTGTCACTGTGAACCCAAAGGCATAAGGTTTGAATCCACCACCTGCTCCTTGGGAGAAAAATAGGCAATCTCCTCCTCTGTGATTTATGGCTTTGCAAAATCTGCTGGAGTCAGCTGTGAGTTGATTCCAATATGATATTACACAACAACAACAAAATCAAATGTCATAATTGGTTGTGTTGCGTTACTCACCAAAAAATTGTGGTTCAAACCCACCAGCCACTTCTCAGGAGAAAGATAATGGTAGTCTGCTTCTGTAAAGAGTCACAGGCTGGAAAACCCCTTAGAGTGGTTCTAATTTGTCCTACAGTGTCATTATGCATTGGGATAAACTCAAAGACATTAACTTTTGTTTTAATCTATTTTTAAATTCACTTACTGTAGTCAAAAGCATCTGTTACAGCCAGTTAAGGATTCCATTAAACTCTATATTTTGTTTGAGAAAAGTAAAATAAAAAGAAAATTATCCACATAATCCAAGACCCAAAGTCATGATGGGGGCTACATTATACAGATTATATATATTGATAATGTGTATCCCCACATTTTATGCACTGATATTTGGAAGTCTTGAGAATACTTAGGCCTGTTTCATCAATTTTGTTCATGACCTGCTTTGTAAGTGTTTGACTAATTCAGATGCATTTCCTACCTTGGGCTGAAGTGTGAACCACTCATCACTTGGATTTTCAAAGTTCCATGAGTCGAAAGGAATCTCCACCTCTCCGAGGAAGCTATTTCGTCCAAATCGATCATAGTGCCAGACTGAAAGCTGCAGAGTTCTTGTTTCCAACTGAGTATGACTGATAGTGTACTGCAAGAGAGATGTACAACATCATACTCCACAAGGAGGGCTCTATCCAACTACAGGGCAGGTTGGGATTTAAATATCACAGTCTTTTAGATCAAAAGAAGCTCTGGCAGTTTAGTCTGTGGGGTGCTGCGCAGCTAATCAAAAGGTGGCATGTCTCTGACACTTGAATCCACTAGCAGTTCTGAGGAAAAAGATGGGCAGTTTCCTCTCATTAAGAATTCCATCCTCTGTAACCTGCTAGATAGAGGGTTGCTATAAGCTGAAACTGAGTCAACTACAGTGAGTTTGAGCTTGTTTTATCATTGAGATTATATTCATCAATAATGGGAATAAACCAAATGCAAATGAAATATTTGTCTTTTGTTTGCCCTACAATTAAGCATTTATTCCATATACTTATTTTCTGTCAGATCTGGCACTTAAAAATATATAAACAAATCACTTGGAGCTGGTGGTCATAGAAATAAACTCCAGCTAATGTATGAAAGGTGTTAGGTGACAAAGCTTATTGTTATTCTACTTTTGTCTGCTTTTCATTTAATTATTTTGTCAATATAACACTCTTGTTACCAGCAGCCAGGAAATCAAAAGATCAATTTCCTTGAGAAAGTTGGCTGTCAGGGACCTGTCCAAAGTACTGAAGAGCAACGATATCAGTCTGGAGATTAAGGTGTGCCTGATCCAGGCCATGGTCTTCGCTATGCATCAGAAAGCTGGACCATGACTAGGGATAATAGAAGGAGAATTGATTTCTTTGAGCTATGCTGCTGGAGAAGTATACTGAATATACCATGGACTGTTAAGAGAATAAACGGGTTTGACCTAGACAGGATGAAACCAGGGTGCTCCTTGGAGGCAAGGATTCTGAAGTTCCATCTGACATACTTTTGGAATGTCGAAAGGAGGGATCAGTCCTTAGATAGGGTCATCACGCTTGGGAGGGTGGAGGAACAGCACAAGACAGGAACACTGTCAGTGAGATAGATAGACTCAGTGACTGGGTTGTAATGGGGGTACATGTGTCAGAGACAATCGTCTTATTGAGCAAGGTTCAGAGCTGTTGTACATAGGGCCACTATGAGTCACAGATGACTTAATGGCACATACAACAATAACAATATTATTTGTAGGCTCAAGAATTAACATATTAATTCTTCAATTTCTTGGTCTTCTTTTACTCATAACAAGAAATTTCAAACCCAGAGAAATACTGGCAATGAAAAATACACAAACACCAAACATCATAAAGTCCAGTCTAAAGCTTTAAATGCAGAGGTGGAAGCATGTATTCAGAGATGGAGCAGAAAGAAGATATTACTCCCTTTCTAGAAGAATAGTATCCAGGACCACATACTTGCACATTCTCAAGCTAACAGTTTGTTCTATACAACCACAATCTAGGATGTACTTCAGGTTGACTGATTCCTGATCGTGAATTTGTATACTTGCTCTTCTTGGAAAGACTGGCCTTGGCTCCCTGCTTTCTGATCACAGTGTTGATCGATTCTGCTTGGTATCCTCTTTGCTATTCTATGATGGTCAATGGATTAATTAACTGCCTGGCTCTATTTTTTTTTATCTTGAGTTTTATGTTTTATTATCAATTCATTCTTCTACACATGTACATTCACAGCCTTGCTCTGGAAGACAATGGTTCTATCATTCTAGCACAAGACTCTAAGCCAAATTCGTAGTTATCAAGTCAATTCTGAATTTTGGTGACTACATATTTGACTGAATATATTCACTGGCTGAAATCTTAAGGAAGCAGATCACCAGGCCTTTCTTCTATGGCATCACTGCATAGATGGAAAGTGTCATCTTTTAAGGTCAGGATCTAATGTCATAGAGTTTATTCTAATACATAGTAAACCTATAGACAACTGACTGGAAGAGATCAATATTTGTTCCCATTCCAAAGAAAGGTGACCCAACATAGTATGGAAATTATGGAGTAATATAATTAATATCACATGCAAGCATGATTCTGCTGAAAATTATGCAAAAACGACTGGAGCAACATGTCAACAGAGAACTGCCAGATGTGCAGGCTGGATTTAGATGAGATCCTGGTACTAGGGATATCATAGCTAATGTTAGATGGATCATGGCAGAAAGCAGAGAATACCAGAGGAATGTGTATCTGTGTTTCATTTACTATGCAAAGGCTTTTGACTGTGTGAATCACAACAATCTGTGGCTGACTCTGAGAAGAATGGGAATCCCAGAACATTTGATTGTGCTTATGCGAAACCTATTCTTGGACCAAGAGACAGCCATCATAAGAGAGCAAGGAAACACTGCATGGTTCAAAATAGGGAAGGGGGTCCACCAGGGATATATTCTGTCTCCATACCTTTTCAATCTGTATGCAGAACAGATCATCTGGTATACTGGGCTGCACAAGGAGGAATGGGGCATCAGGATTGGTAGAAGAATCATCAACAACCTGTGTCATGCAACTAACACAACCCTGCTTGCAGAAACTGAGGAGGACCTGAAGCACTTGCTGCAGATCAAGGACTGCACTCTTCAATGTGAATGAAGCTCAACATCAAGAAAACAGATTCTCACCACTGGGCCAATTGGCAGCATCAGTATGGATGGTGAAGAGATTGAGGCAGTTAACAGTTTTAGTTTGCTTGCCTCCACATTCAACACTCTTGGTAACAGCAGCCAGGAAATCAAGAGACAAATTGCATTGGGGATATGAGCTGTCAGGGACCACTCTAGAGTACTGAAGAGCAAGGACATCAGACTGGAGACTAAAGTGTGCCTGATCTGAGCTATAGTCTTCGCAATTGTGTGCTATGCATAGGAGAGCTGGACAATGACTAGGGAGGATAGAAGGAGAATTGATGCCTTTGAGCTGTGGTGCTGGAGAAGAGTGTTGAATATACCATGGCTGCTAGAAGAACAAACAGATTTGTCCTGGAAAGGGTGAAGCCAGGCTGCTTCTTGGAGTCAAGGATTCTGAAGCTTTGTCTGACATACTTCGGGCGTGTTGCAAGGAGGGACCAGTCCTTGGAGAGGGACATCATGTTTTGGAGGGTGGAGGGACAGCGCAGGAGAGGAAGACCCTCAATGAGGTGGATCGACTCAGTGATTGGGGTGGTGGGAGTAATTGTTTCAGAGACAGTGAGGTTAGCACAAGATAGAGCAGGATTTAGGGCTCTTGTACATAGGGTCACTATGAGTCACTAGTGACTTGATGGCACATAACAACAACAACAACAACAACAACATAGGACAGTAGGATGTCATCATATAATTTCTGTGCCTGTAAATCTGTACTAGGGCAGATTGCATCATCTTTCTCATATGGAGTGGCTGATGGATTTCCCCCCTTTTTTGTTTTTTTTTTTTAAATAAATAATTTATTGTTATTTTAATAAAAATTTATAGAAACTTGGATTATCATTCATTCACCATTGCATAATTTACTTCCACCTCTACCCCAGGTCCACTTTGCTATGTACCTCTTATTAGGGACTGTTGTCACACAAACAATGCCTAATCATATTTTCCCTTTTAAACAGTTCTTTCCTTCATCTGTTCCAAGTTTCTCCCCAATCTCCATGTCAGTCCCACTCTACAAAAGTGGCATAATTAAGTATTTGTCCTTCTGTGGCTAAGATATTTAATACAGTATAATATCTTCCAGGGTCACCCATTTTGTATAATATTTTATTATTTCCTTCTTTTTCAGTGCTTCATAGTATTAATATGCCACAGCTCTATCTGTTTGTTGATGGGCAAATAACTTGGGTTACTTCTATCTCTTTATTATTGTGAACAACACAGCAATAAATATGGGTGTACATATAACCTTTTGTGTGGCAGCTCTAGTTTCTTTGGGATATATTCCCAGTAGTGGAATTGCTGGATCAAGTGGTATCCCCCCACCCCAACTTTTTGAGTAAGCGCCATACTGCCTTCCATAGTGGTTGTACCATTTTACACTTCCACCAACAGTGAATAAAGATTCCATTTTCTCCACAACCTTGACAGCATTTGTTGTATGCTACTCTGTTGAACATTGCTATTGTTACTGGGGTGAGATGATATCTCATAGTTGCTTTGATTTGCATCTCTCTTAGAGTTAGGTGTTTTGAACATTTCTTCATGTGTTTCTTTGCCATCTGAATGTTCTCTTTGGTGAAGTGGCCTGTGCCCATTTTGAGACTTGATTGTTTACTTTTATCTTGTTGAGGTGCTGGAATATTCTATAAAATTTAGATATATGTTCCTTATCAGACGTTTCATTATCAAATATTTTCCCCCATCTGTGACTTTCTTTTTTTACCCTGTTGGAGAAGGTTTTTGATGTCCATAGGGACTTGATTCTTAAAAGGTCTCATTCATCTATTTTTTGGTTGTAGGTTTTTCAGGATGCTTGGAAGACTGTTCATGTTGTGGATTGGGGCTTCTAGAGTTCTTCCAAGTTTTTATCTGATGAAATTTATACTCCTTTGTTTTACTCCTAGGTTCTTGATCCACTTTGAATTGTTTTTTGTGTATGGTGTGAGGTGTGGGTGTTGTTTGAATTTTCTACAGACAGTTTTCCAACTTTGACAACATCATTTGTTTAAGAGGCTTTCATTTCCTCTCTTAAATGTTTTCATCTCCTTGTTAAAAATCAGTTGACCATAGGTAGAGAAGCTGATTTCTGGATTCTCAATACTACTCCATTGATCTATGTGTCTGTCACTGTACAAGTATCACACCATGGCTGTGTAGTAGGACTTGAGATGAGGGAGTAGGACTTGAGATGAGGGAGTGAGATGCCTCCTACCTTGTTTCACTTTTTCAGGAGTGCTTTGCTTATTTTGGGTCTCTTTCCATTCCAGATTAAATTGAAAATTGTCTTCGCAGCTTGCTGAAGAATGGAATTGATATTTGGTTAGGGATTGCATTGAATGTGTAGATTGCCTTTGGAAGAATTGTCATTTTCACAATATTGAGGTTTCCTATCCATGAGCATGGTATAAGTATATTCT